TCCTGGAAATAAGCAGCGGTTTTCTATCAGCACTTTCTTTACTCGCGCGGAGGGCAGGCCACCGTTGCTGAGTGCAGAAAATTTCTCGGTTGCTCAGTGCCATCACAATTTCTCAATGCTTGCCGATTTTTAACTGATCCCTGCTTGTGATTTTAACTCCCGTAGAAGCCGGGGTGTATCAGCGAATGCCACGTTTAGGCATAGCAACTACAGCTTTCGCTGTGCCTGCAATTTCTTAGTCGAAGCACATTCCGGTTTGTCCAGAACAATCGCACGTTTGGGGAATACCAGTGTTAAACAAAAACAGCCCCCTTGTTTGAGCTTAACTTGAACCCTTCCTAGGAACTGAGAACTGTGAAGGACAGTAGTGGGAAAGGTCAGCTGAGCAAGGACAGTTCTGGGAAAACTCAGTTATTAAAAAACAAAACAAAACTGGAAAACACCTTATCACAAAGGAGTTAAGTAAACTAACCTACAGAGTACAGAACCCAAGTTTAACAGACCAATCTGAACAGGAGCCCATTTTTAGATAGCTCACCCTCAGCCAACTAAGGAAATGTCACCCAACTACTGCAAATTTCCCTATAGTAAGTCCCTGTCTGTACGGAAAGTCCCTAAAGTGTACCGTGTATAGAAACCAACCAAATTGAACCTTGACGAGTGCCTCTCTTCGAAGAGGAGACTCCCTGTTCGCGAACAGTTGCTCTTCAATAAACCTTTTCTGATCATGATAATTTTTATTGAAACTTTTTTTTTTCGACCCATGCGACCGAAAAAAAGTTTTTTTTTTTTTTTGTTTTTTTTTTTAAGGGGCAGCAAGTCACAGTTTAGTCTTTCTGCAGTTTTTTAGTCCTGGGAAGTCCGGATTTAGGCTTAGGTGTCAACAGGGAAGTCACGATGGCAAGGATGCATGGTTTAATGGTGCTTGCAGTTTCTTATTTTAGGCTTAGTTTGCTGTATGCTTTGCTTATTTTTAGGTGTTCTTTCGTAGTGTTATGTCTGGGGTCGATTTGCTCTGTTTTGTTTTCACTACTATTGGTATTTCAAATATCTTATATTATTAAAAGTCTTCATTTAAATTTTTCTGATTTTCTTGAAATTGTCACTACCCAGCTTTTTGGTCTGTGCGTTCTCCCATGAGTCTGGGAGGCCAAAACCACCCACCCGTTTGCCCGAGCTGCGTCTCAGCACCGTTTTCTCCCAGGTAGCCGAGCTCCTCACACCCAGCCGCCGGTTTCTCATCAGCACTTTCGCTAGTGACACCAGACTGGCGTTTTCTCGGTTTGAAGCCCGGCTGTTAGTGCCATCCAGAAAGTTTCTCTGTGGCAAGGCTTCCAGTTTCTCTGGGCTTTTGCTTCCTCCCTCTAAGCACGTGATGGCCTTTTCATAGTCGTAGCACCGCCATTCGCACGGAGCGCTTGTGCGTTAGCACTTTCGCTACTAAGGACAACCGGGTGGTTTTCCTGTCACAGCACTTAATTGCCCAGAGTCTGTGGGTCGAACCAGCTAGTTTCTCAGAGTGTCCGCTTCTTTTTGACAGCGCCGTTAATTATATCAAAACGGATGTTTGTCGTTGGCAAGGCCGCTAATGCTACCTGTGGTCACTTGCAGGATCCCAGACCTCCCTTTGCAGATTTTTCTCGGTGGCACCAGCGCTACTTGCTCGGTGCCTGGGATTCCCGGTTTTCACCGCTAGTTTCTCTGAGCCTGCCTTTTCACCTTGGCAGCACGATTACGTAAGCATACCTAAAAAGAGGGACTTGTTATTGATAACCCAGAACTCACGACGACGCAGAAATCGCACGCTACGCATAATCCTAAATGCTAGTTGGTGTCGTTTCGCTAGATTCGCCTTGTAGTTGAGTTCTTCGCCCTACCAAGTTTGAATTTAGCGGTGCATGCGATTTCTGCATTATACCAACTCCCTGTGAACCCGGCCTGCGTTTTCAAAAGCTTGTATAAGATGTACCAAAAAACAAACAAACCCGTTGCCCTTGAGTCGATTCTGATTCACAGAGACGTTATAGGGCAGAGTAAAACTGCCCCATATGGTTTCCAAGGAGCGGTCGGTGGATTTGAACTGCCAAACTTTTGGTTAGCAGCAGTAGGTCTTAACCATTGTCCCACCAGGGCTCTGGGGAAGGAAAATAAAACGCAACGAACATATCAACGCCACAGCAAAACACCCCTAAAGGAAATCAAAAAATAAGCACCGTTAAAGGGTGCATTCTAACGTTTATGGTATCTCTGCCACGCCTAAATCGGTAGTTAAGCCAAAACCTGAACTCCATTCAACTAAGAAATTGGGACACTACTAAAGTGCCATTGGCCATGCGTTAAAAAAAAAAAAAAAAAAAAAGGCGTTCGACGGTATATGCCAACTTGTATTGAAAGTTAAAACGCATGAGCATAGCTAAAACGGGAACCTTGTTAATGATAAAAACGGAATCCGCGACGACACAGAAATCCAAGGGCAACGCAGAATCCAAATGTGCTAGTTGCCTGTGCCATCGTTTCCCGGTTTCGCCATCTCGCCCTGTGGTTGATTTCTTTGCCCTACAAGTTTGAATGTAGCGGTGTGTGCGATTTCTGCCTTATATCAAGTCGCTGTGAGCCTTGCCAGCGTTTTCTAAATCTCACACAAGATGTAAAAGGAATCGAAAACAAAAAGCAACGAACTTATCAACGCCACAGTAAAACACGACTAAAGAAAACCAAAAAATAAGCAAAACGTAAAAAAAAAAAAAAAACCTAATTCTACAAAGAAACTGCAAATACAGTTAAACCGTGCCTTCCTTCGTTTGTCGTATCTCTACCACACCTAAATCGGTACAGTTAAACCGGATTGCATAGAACTAAGAAATTGAGGCGCCACGAAAGTGGTATTTATTACGCTTAAAAAAAAAATTGTTCGCTAGTATATCCTGACTTGTATGGGGGAGCTTATTAAAACGCATAAGCGTAGTTAAAAAGCTGGACTTGCTATTGATAAACCGGAACCCCGGACAGACGTAAAAACCGCACCCAATACAGAATCCAAATGTGCTCATTGCGTGTGCCTTAGTTTCGCCGTGTGGTTGATATCTTAGCCTTAGCAAGTTTTACCTTAGCGGTACGTGAAGATTTCCGCGTCGTAGCGAGTTATGGTTTATCAACAGCAAGTCCTGCTTTGAAGCTACGCTTATGCATTTAACTCCTCATAGAAGTGGGAGCATACCAGGGAACGCTAGTTTTTCTTTAAGATGTAGAATATACCACTTTACTGGCGCCACAATTTCTTAGTCCTAGGGAGTCATGGTTTAGCCTCGACAGATATCAAATCGTAAGAATGCTGCGTTTATCGGCGTTTGCCGTTTATTTGTACAGTTAGTTTTCTGTACGTTTTGCTTATTTTTTCTGATTTTCTTTAGTGGTGTTTTGCTAAGAAAGTAAGCACATGGCGCAACCTCGAAAGGGCGGCGCACGCAACTAGCACATTTGGAATCAACTCTGATTGCAATTTCTGCGTCCTCCCGAGCTCCGGTTTATCAATGGCAAGTCCTGCTTTTTTCCTTTGCTTATACATTTTGACTCCTGTAGAAGTCAGGCATACAGGTGAACGTAATTTTTTTTCAGGCGTAGCAAATACCACTTCAGTCCTGCCGCAATTTCTTAGTCCTACGTAGATCCAGGTTAGATGCGACAGAAGTATGGAAATTATAGGAATGAATCCTTTATCGGTGTTTGCAATTTCTTGTGAGGTTTGCTCTGTGTACCTTTTGCTTATTTTTTGCTTTTCTTTAGTGGTATTTTGCAGTGGGATTGAAATGTTCGTTGATCTTTGTTTTCAGTTCCTTTTTTAAAATTTTTTTTAAAATTGTACTTCAGGTGAAGGCTTACAGAAGAAATAGTTTCTCATGAAATAGTAGTACACATATTGTTTTATGACATTGGTTAACAACCCCACAACATGTCAACCCTCTAACTTCTCAATCTTTTTTT